AAACTTCAATTGTGACAAGTTCTTATATGAAATCACAATACTACACATCAGTTTTGCAGTAAATGGACAAAAGATACTGATGGATGACATTTCACTTGGGCTGGTCATTTCAAAAAGTCACTTTATTATTATTATTATTTTTTTTCTTACAGCATGCATAAGCTTAAACAGTAGGAAATTAAAGGGTTCTTGTGGGGCTAGATCCATAAGGGGCATTTCCATGGAAGACGACATAGACAAGCACTCAGCACGCATTGTTAAAGACCTCCCGGCACCTCAGGACCTTGAGGTAGTTGTCAGCCCTGTGCGTGTCCCTGCTCAGGCAGCGAATCATGTTGAAAAGAGCAAAGTGGCGAGTGTCCTCGTTGGGCGACTTCAAGTCTGCCTGTCCGGTCCAAGCGGGATAGGCGCCTTCTTCAGTGCCGGGATACTCCTAGCCAGGAACACCACAGGAATCGGTTATCTTGTTAGTGTGAGTTGGTCCTTATTCATTCTTTGTGTATATGAGTATACATGGAAGTGCATGTACATGTAAGAGTGTGTGTGTGTGTGTGTGTGTGTGTGTGTGTGTACAAATGACTCTGGATTTCAGAGATCTATGTTGTAAGAAGTTCCTCAGGTGATTTCTGCCTTACTTTTGGAAACAATGCCTATTATTTTTATCTAAATCTCACTAAGGATTTCCTTGTATTTCCTTGTCATCTACTGAGAAGCACAAGCCACCACCTGCCCCTTTCTGCATGAAAAAAGGACACACCTCACGCCCTCATGTTTAAAATGAAAGCACTTGCAGACTGAGCCATTTCTCCAGTCACCGTCCCTACACCCTCTAAATTACAGATGAACTTTGTGACAAAATTTAGTTCAGGAATACTTAGGTCAAAGTATTGGAATTTCATATATATATATATATATATATATATATATATATATGTATATTCCAAGGTCTTATGAGGGCAGTAGCCATCTAAAACTATAAGTGAGGCTGCTATCTCTATTATCCAATGTACAGTTTATTCCAGGTAAGGGGTGTTCTCACAGGAAGTACAGCTGGAGAACCAGGAGGTTGTTGTCTCAATAGAGACACGGATCTGGCCAAGGGAGATAGAAAAGCTTGTATCAACCCTTTG